AGTTATGGAATGACTAAAGCACAGGAATAAAAGGCACAGCACAGGGAACAGAGTCAATGATCTTGTAATACTGGTGTGTGCCTACACTTGCAGTGAGCAGAGCATAAGGTATAAAGTGGTTGAATCACTATGGTGTCCACCTGAAACTAATGTAACATCGTGTGTCAAAAAAAAAAAAATGTACAGGGGCACCTGGGTGGCTCAGATGGTTGAGCGTCTGCCTTCGGCTCAGGTCGTGATCCCAGAGTCCTGGGATCGAGTCCCGCATCAGGCTCCCTGCTCCTTGGGAGCCTGCTTCTCCCTCTGCCTCTCTCTCTGTCTCTCATGAATAAATAAATAAAAAGTTTAAAAAAAAATGTACAGTGCTTCTATTTATAACAGCAGAAGAATGGAAACAGTAAATGTTCTTAATAGGGAACTGTCTGAATAAACCATATGACATCACATGATGGAGTTCTGTGTATCAGTCAAAAGAAATGAGGAAGATCTCATACTGTAGAGTGCATAGGCTGTAGAGTGATCTCTGGGATTTCAACCCTAAAACGAAAAACAGGTGGGGAGCCTGGGTGGCTCAGTCGGTTGAGTGTCCAACTTTTGATTTTAGCTCAGGTCGTGATCTCAGGGTCATGAGATCAAGCCCTGTCAGGCTCTGCACTCAGTGGGGAGTCTGCTTAAGATTATCTCTCTCTGGGACACCTGGGTGGCTTAGTCGGTTAAGCCTCTGACTTCACTCAGGTCATGATCTCAGGGTCCTAGGATTGAGCCCTCCATTCAGCTCCTCACTCAGTGGGGAATCTGCTTGTTCCTCTACCCCTTCCCTGATCACGCTTGCGCTCATTCTCTCTTTCTAATAAATAAAATCTTAAAAAAAAAAGATTCTGGGCGCCTGTGTGGCTCAGAGGGTTAAGCATCTGCCTTCGGCTCAGGTCATGATCCCAGGGTCCTGGGATCGAGTCCCGCATCGGGCTCCCTGCTAGGCGGGGAGCCTGCTTCTCCCTCTGCCTCTGCCTCTCTCTCTCTCTCTCTGACTCTCATGAATAAATAAATAAAACATTAAAAAAAAAAAGATTCTCCCTCTCCCTCTGCCCTCCCCCACCTTGCACTCTCTCTCTAAAATAAATAAATCTTTTAGTGTCCGACTTGACTTCGGCTCAGGTCATGGTCTCAGGGTCCTGAGATCAACACTTGCATCAGGCTCTGTGCTCAGAGGGGAGTCTGCTTCAGGATTTCTCTCTCCCTCTGCCCATCCCCCTGCTTGCTCAAGCTCTCTCTCGCTCCTCTAAAATAAAGAAGTAAATTTAAAAAATAAAATAAAATGCAAAACAGTACGCATTTAAGAAAGAGAAAGAAATGTAGTTACTCGTATTAAGGGAGAAAAAAATGGAAGGATCTCAATGACTAATTAAAAAAAATTTTTTTTAAAGATTTTATTTATTTGACAGAGACAGAAACAGCGAGAGAGGGAACACAAGCAGGGGGAGTGGGAGAGGGCGAAGGAGGCTTCCTGCCAAGCAAGGAGCCCAATGTGGGACTCGATCCCAGGACCCTGAGACCATGACCTGAGCCTAAGGCAGACGCCCAATGAATGAGCCACCCAGGAGCCCGACTAATTAAAATTCTAACCCACAGAGTAAGGAAGTAATGAAGTAAGTAAAGTAGGAAAGAGTAAGGAAAGTAACAGGCTGAGGAAGAGAAATGAAAGGCTTTTTTTCCTCTGAATATACCAGGTTTACAATTTCAACCTTAGGACCACGCAAATGCTTCACAACACTATAAAACAGGATCAATTCAAAAAGAAGAAAAAAGCAATCCCTAAAAATGAAAAACAAATATACGTCAAACTGGTGACAAAACCACTCAGAGAACTATTTCAAGTGACTTTAAAACAGTCAATCAACCACACATCTGCTGCACGAAACGTCCTAAGGACCAAAAGAACCACAAAGAAATATTAAACTATTTAGTATTAGTTATGTTACTACTGTTATTTTGAACATATACACAATTGTTCTGGTGGCATTAGGAACTTTTTTTTTTTTTAAGATTTTATTTTTAAGTAATCTCCACACCCAACATGGGACTCAAACTCACAACCCCAAGATCAAGAGTCACATGATCCACCCACCGAGCCAGCCAGGTGCCCCAGGAACTAAGATTTTCAGCGTAAGAGGAAAGAAATATAAACATTAAAATATAAATGTACATATAAATTACAAATTACAAATTAAATTACAAAAAGAAATTAAGTAAAAATCTCACAATCTTAAATCTGGCCTGGAAATATCAAGGTGAATTCATGATGTATTTTTCTCTTCCTGGTTTTGACCACTCAAAATGTCTAGAAGTAATGACGACCAGTGCAATTAGCACTCCTGACACCAACGTGTGGTTTTAACCTTCCCATACCATTTTCCACTAAAAGAAACCATGGTTTTTAGAGAAACAGCCAATTCCAAGTCCTAATGAAACGTGTAAGTGATGAACTCTGGGCATCTTTTAGGCCAGAAGGCAAGGAAGCAATGAAAACATCTGGGTCATGTCAAAAAAGACACACACGAAACTTAATTAGACTCCCAATAGCCACAGATGGGATGGTTTGAGCATTAGAAAAAGAGTATCTGCAATGGATTGAAATACAAGTGTTAAAAATTCGAGAGTTTATAACGAAGAGGGAGACCTCTAAAAGTTGCAGGAACCCCAACTCATTTTCTGAACACTGACAAAGGGAAAGAATCAACCATTCATCCTTTGTTGCCTGAATTCTATTTTAGGGTATCCCAATAGTGTTGACAGAACGTTTATAGAATAACTGATGCTAATATAGGAGGAAAGTTAAAATTAGAAAACAACCATTTTGTGACCCCAATGAAATAATGCATCTAAGCAATAATCATAAATGGCTGCAAAGATCATTAGGTGAAAGACTGATGGATGAGTCAGGACTGTCCATGAAATCACTGATCAATCTTAACATTTCTCAATGAAGAGAAAACTAGACAGCACATCCTCCTGACCTGAGTCAACAGCAAATACCCTAATGAGGTACCTCCAACTTAAAAAATTATACCTGAATCTAATTAACTCTCTAGATCTAATTGCCAGCTCACAGGAAATACTGGGATAGAGAAGCACACTAAATGTCACCAGATCTGGTGGGAAATGTCTATAGGACAAATGACCCATTTTCCTCAACAAATACATCACAAGGGAAAATGGAGGGGAAGGAGAAACTATTTCATATTAAAAAGAGACCTAAGAGATATACCCCACAAAATACAATGTTGTATCCTTTTGGGATCTTGACTTGAAGCAGCATTAAGAGGCCATTTTTTAGACAATTTGGAAAATTTGAACACTGCATATTAGATGATATTAAAGAATTACAGTTAATTTCATTGAATGAGAATGTTTAAATTTTTAAAAATACAGTGCTTCATAAAAAGCTCTTCTACAAACATTAGCCTGCCATTGAATACCCAGAAAATGTCTGATAAATACTGGTTAAGATAAGTGACAAGGGCGACACTCCCCTGTAAACTTTCCATTTCACCCTCCCCAAATAAAGGATAAACCCCTGGCCTGTTACTCAAGTCACTACCCTCCCTCACCACCAGTCCCAACCATATTTCCCAAGGCTTCCCCTTTTTGCCTCTACATTTTCAGACAAACAGGACTATTTGCAACTTTCCGCACAGGTCACACGATTTCCTTCCTGCATGTCTTTGAAGGCCCTGGAATGCCCTTCCACTATCTCCATCTGTCCAAATCCTCCCCTCTTGAAGACCCATCACCAAAGTTATCTCCTAAATAAACCTTCTTTGAACCTCCCATCAGAAGTCAGTATTCCTGTAGTTCACCTGTGACACCTGTAACATCTTATCTCTTCTGCTACTTTTTAAAAAAATACCTGTTGATGTAGAGAAGACATTAGGGTCCGAAGCTGAGGGCCAAGAAAGAATTCTTGAGAAGCCCTTGGTGCAAAAAGGTGCTTTTATTAAAGCACAGGGGCAGGACCCTTGGGCAGAAAGAGCAGCACTGGGGTCATGAGGAGTGGCCCCTTATATACTTTCAAGTTGGGAGGGGGTTAGGGAGAGCCTAAGTCTAAGGAATTTTGGAAGCAAGCTTTCCAGGACCTTTTACCCTTAACAAAGTATAAACACTAAGGCAGCTGAGTTCCTAGAGGATTTTCACTTTGCCTGTTTTAAGGACTTGTCAATGGGCTGTAGGTAGTAAGGAAATAGCCAAAACTTACACTGATTATATAACAGATTACTAAAAATTATGAAGAGCCTTACCAAAACAGAAGTGTAGGAACTATCAGAGAATATAAAAGAGGTGTCAGACACAATTGGACTCTGCCACATAAGTGCATGATCTAGGATTAATTACTCTAAATGACAATTCCGTCTCAATTTTTAATAATGCAGATCTCCTGGGTATGTTTAAGGCTAAACAGAGTATGTGATGCCACCACCTGGAGAGCCTCAATAAACAGTTCTGATTCCCAGCATCTGTGTCCCTCTGGAGAGAAACTGCGTTCAATTATGCTTTGGATCCTAATCCCTGGCTCTAGGTCTGCCAAAAGCTATGAACCCACTGAGCGGTTCAGAAATAAGTAAAACGGGAAAGGACGAAAGATGTAATAACAACACCCAGCATTTGCATCAAGAATCTCCTTGAGATGTGGAGTACTAGCATCTCCGTTTCACAGGTGAAGTAACTGAGGCTCAGAGCAGGAATGGGGTCCAACAGCATGACAACATAGGAGCCCCAGCCCCACGGCCTCTCCTCGGTCTCTCTCTCTGCCCATCGCTCTACAACTCTTAAACTGAAGCCAGGACGAGACCAGGGGGCTTCCCTTCCCAGAAGTCTTTGCAGCGCCGCGGAGAACTCTGGGATACAAATGGATAAACAAATCCAAGGCAAGGGCCGAGACCTAGGACTGAGAAACTCCATCGTATGCCCGCCGAATGTCTCCTTCATCCCTTTTGCGTGCTTACCTTTCCTGGCGCTGCCGCTATTGGGAGCGTCACCAATGCCCGCAAAGGCCGGGAACAGCGCCATGATCACAGGCCGCACTGCCGTTCCCTTCGACAGAAATGGCGCCGGTGAGCGGACGCCGGTAGTGAGGCCTTCGCTCTCGCGGTGCACTCTGGGAAGTGTGGTTTTTTTTTTTTAAACCCCCGCTCTCCCTCGGGCTTGACCGGGGGGCTGGGCGGGGCGACGAGGGGGGCGGAGCCACTTCCGTGTAATTGCTCTCCGAAGGCTTCTTTGAGAACCAGGAAAATGGAGAGACCCCAAGTGGAATTTTTCAAAGGTGAAAGTAGCAGGAGCTGGGATCCTAATTCGACCCCTGAACTCACACTATCACTAACTGGGTCAAAGTAATCAAGCTCTGTAAGCTTCAGTTTCCTCTTATGCAAAATGTTCCTAAGATTAAATGAGCGCTAAGGTGCTTACTTAGTTGTCGTTGTGCCTGGCCCATGGGAAGCACTTGAGAAAAGTTAGCTATTACGTGAGTTGTGACTGCAGATCGAACTCAAAGCCATGAGATGACGGAACTTCATTGAGGCGCCTGGGTGGCTCAGTTGGTTAAGCATCTACCTTGGGCTGGGGTCATGGGGATCGAGCCCCGCACCGCATCGGGCTCCTTGCTCAGCGAGGAGCCTTTTCTCCCTCAACTGCTCCCCCTGCTTATGCACCTGTGCTCTCAAATAAAGTAAACTCTTTAAAAAAAAAAAAAAAAACTAAGCAATACAAAAGAATAGAACCTATCAGGTTCAAAGGTCTGCTAGTTAGAGAACTTATTTACCCACCCATGAGGTATTCTTGACTAAAAAAAAAAAAAATTGCATCTAATTAAGCCTGCTACTAGAAATATAGGGGATAAAGAAAATTTAAAGAGTTCATACCACCTGGAAGCATCATCCAAATCCAGAATGTGGGAAATTATAGAAAACAATCCAGTTTCTTCAAAAAAATCAATAGCTTTGAGAGTACAGAAGATTGCAATAGATTAAAAGACCTTTAGAGATGTATCAACCAAATACAATATATGGCCTTGTTATGATTCTGATTAGACATTGTAAAAACATCTTTGTGAGACAGATGGAGAAATAAGAGGTGGACAGAGTGTTAGTAGATTACATCAATTAATTCTTGTTAATTTGGTTAGATAAACTAATGTCAGTAAGGTTACTTTTTTGAAGTTCTTACAGGGGCGCCTGGCTGGCTCAGTCGGTAGGGCATGCAACTCTTGATCTTGGGGTTGTAAGTTCAAGCCTCACACTGGGCTTGGAGCATACTTTAAAAAATAATAAAGTTTTTATGTATTGGAGATACATACTCTAGTATTTGCAGGTGAAAATAGATAAGTGAAAAAATATTTCTGTGGATCCCAGGGAGTTCAAAGATCTCTAGAGTTAAATAGAAAATATATTAGAAACCAAATAGTTACAAATCTAATCAAGGGACGGGTGGACTCAAGAAAGCTGACCTTGTGTGAGTCCAAAATGAACACCCTTCATGCTTTGAAGACCTCTACATAGTGTTTATTAAAAGGAGGGGTATGGTGGTAGGGGTAGTAAACCTTTGCATGCATGCAGCTTAAAAACTCAGGTTCTACCCAAATCTCTGGCTCTAAGTTACCTCAATCAGTTGGGGCAGCATCTGCCTCCTTAGCAGATCACTTTGCTTAGCTGGGATGGTGACAGTCTTGTCCAGTGCTTCATATTTTTTCTACTCCAGAAAAATAAGTAATATGGAACGCTTGGGAGAGTCAAAACCATAATAGTAATGGTTCTGGAAGCAGAAGGAAATCTGGGCATGTTAAATATTTTCTGTGCTACAAATGTGTCAGAGAATTTGGCTTAAGAGACCCCTCCTTATAAGAACAATTTAAAGTGTATAATCAAGGGGTGCCTGGCTGGCTCAATAGGAAGCGCATGCTACTCTTGATCTCAGAGTCGTGAGTTCGAGCCCCACAGTGGGTGTGGAGATTACTAAAAAAATAAATAACTTTTAAAAAATAAAAAAAGGGCACCTGGGTGGCTCAGTCGGTTGAGCGTCTGCCTTCGGCTCAGGTCATGATCTTGGGGTCCTGGGATCAGAGCCCCACATCAGGCTCCCAGCTCTGTGGGGAGTCTGCTTCTCCCTCTCTCTTTGGCCCTCCCCCATCTTGTGCTCGCTCTCTCTCTCACTCTTTCTCAAATAAATAAATATTTTTTTAAATAAAATAAAAAATAAAAATTGTGGATAATTGAGTAACTGATATAAACCTCCGATTTTAAGTTGAAATCTTATGAAGTTTAGGCCACCTAAGAGAATTTAAAGCTTACGATGTGTAAGCATAATTGCTTAACTTTATAAAAATTAATACTTGACAGGTAATTGAAGTACCTGTAAAAGAAATAATGTGTACATGCACTATTTTGGCCTTTTTTGGTGAAATGTTGAAATGTTCTATAATACAGAATTTTTAAACTAAAAATTAAAAAGCTTACTTTTTTAAAAAGCATAACAATAAGAGGGAACAAACTACACACACAACAATATGAATGAATCTCAGAATCTGTACGCTGGGTAAAAACAGGCAGGTAAGCACAAGAGTACTTACCCTTCGGTTCTATTTATACAAAGTTCTAGGAAATGCAAATTAATATATAGTAACAAAGCAGATCAGTGGTTGCCTATAGGGCTGTGGGAGCAGAGGGAGGGATACTCTACAGGAGGCATGCAGAATCTCTTGGGGGTGAAAGAAATGTTCTGGACCTTGATTATGTTCGTGGTGGTTTCACAGAAGTGTAATCACCACCTGGTTTTTTTAAAGGCTTAAGAACACACCAAGGTTTTGAATTTGTTGTTTTAATAAATTAAAGACTAACCGGCAGTCAGCAAAATTTTCTGAAAAGGGTCACATAGTAAATATTTTAGACTTAGCAGGACATATGGTCTCTGTGGCAACTACATTGAAATTTGAAGTTCATACAATTTTCACATGTCACAAAATATTCTTTTTTCTATTTTTTCCAACATTTATAAGTATAAAACCTATTCTTTTCTTTTTTTAAAGATTTTATTTATTTATTTGACAGAGAGAGAGACAGCAAGAGAGGGAAAACAAGCAAGGGGGAGTGGGAGAGGGAGAAGCAGGCTTCCCGCGGAGCAGGGAGCCCGATGTGGGACTCAATCCCAGGACCCTGGGATCATGACCTGAGCCGAAGGCAGACGCTTAACGACTGAGCCACCCAGGCGCCCCAAAGGCCATTTTATTTTTTTTAAAGATTATTTATTTATTTATTTATTTGATAGAGAGAGAGGGAACACAAGCAGGGGTAGCGGGAGAGGGAGAAGCAGACTCCCCGCCAAGCAGGGAGCCCAATGCGGGGCTCGATCCCACTGGGATCATGACCTGAGCCGAAGGCAGACTTTTAACGACCGAGCCACCCAGGCTCCCCATAAAACTTATTCTTAACCCATGGGCCATACAAATCAGCAGTGGGTCAATTTGACCCATGGCCGTAGTTTGCTGGATCCTTGCAAACTCTCTATCATTAAACAAAACTGAAAGTAAACTTTGGCCTGGTCTTTTCTGCATAAGGAAACCCACTCCAGAGTGCATGGAAACACCTCACTTTAACTGTTGTTGTTATTATTGTTATTGTTATTGTTATTGTTACTATTTCACTCTACAGACTTTGGGTATTTCCAGTGCCTATGGCAGGGATTTCTTAAAATAAACCAAAAACGGTTTTGAGAGAGAGAGAGAACGCTTGAGCACGGGGGCAAGGGGCAGAGGGAGAGAGGGGACGCAGGGCTCGATCTTAAGACCAGGAGCCAGATGCTTAACCGATTGAGTCACCCAGGCACCCCAGATAGCTTACTCTTAAACTAGCACATCTTCCCAAAATGGCCTGAAAGGATTTTCAGCTTTTCTTGTCATAAGAATTCTTCCAGAAAATGGCATATGTTTTATAGTTATATTGATAATGAAAGAAATCAACAATAAACCTTCTGTTTTTAAATAACTTTTAAATAAGCAAATAGTTAAATCCCCACTATTTAGGGTGACTTTCTTTGACTAGAAAAGTGACATTTTAAGAACTTGTTTGGCCTCAGTCTCCATTTAAAAACTCCTTTATCTTGTTGACTTTTGTCTCTCTGGCTTGTGTTCACCTATCTTTTAAGTGTGAGGCGGGAGGGGCCGGTGCATCACCGCTCCCTTTTCCTCCCAGCTACACCTCTTTTTTCACTGGCTCCAGTCACTGCCCAAAGGAACAAAAGTGTGGATTTTTTTCCCCCTGTAAATTTCTAGTTCCAGGTGAAAGTATCTAAATTAAATTGGTTTCACCTTTTGCCCATCTCTGTAGGAATGCAGAAAGAACGCTCCTTTCCATTTTAAGCATGAAATACATGCTTGATACAGAAAAAGCTTTAAATGCAGGGAAGTATGAAGAAAATGCAGAATAATCACCCATATTTCCATTGCCCAAACACAAATACTATTTCAGAGTATTTCTACACAGGCCTTTTCTTTCTTTCTCTTCTGCTTTTCTGGTATCTTAGTTTATGGGTATATTTTTTCATCATAGTTGTGATTACTTTTCTTCCTAATATAAGCATCTCTCTGTTTTACACAAATGCCATAAACATATATTAGATGTAGAATATTTCATCCAGTGAATGGAATCACAATACACTTAATTATTCCTATTTCTAGATATTTAGCAAACCTCACTTGTGTCATCTCATTGACTTTATCCATGAGTTCTCCAAACATGAATAGCCAGATGGGATTGTGAGCCACAAGATTGCAAACGGTAGATCATCCACCAGTGGCCAAGAGGGTTGGATTTGTTTGGTGTGTTGTGTGTGTGTGTGTGTGTGTGTGTGTGTATGTGTTTTAATTTTAGAGAGAGAAAGAGAGAGCCCACGAGTGGGAGGAGGGGCAGAGAGAGAGGGAGAATGTCAAGCAGATGCTGCGAAGCAGGGCTCAACACGGGACTCCATCTCACAACCCTGAGACCATGACCTGAGCCGAAATCAAGAGCCAGATGCTGAACCGACTGAGCCACCCAGGCGCCCCTCAAGAGGGATGTTTATAATGATGCCCCGTGCTGGAGCATGAGGAGAGGGGTGG